GAATAAAATTATTTAAAAACTTGGCCTAACCTCAGTTGTTGCAGGACAGAAGAGCAACACATTTGCACTTTAAGGTTGTGCTGTCACTCACTCCACTTTCCTCCCACCCCCTCCCTCTACCCTACTCCAGAGATTCTCTTGCTTTTCTCAGTCTAGGCAGTCACAGCTCTTCAGCTCCTCCTGTCAGTGGAAAAGGCTCTGTGTTTATCTGAATTTGACTTCACTGCAGTGAAGCATGAATCAAAGAATGATCTAGCATAAGGCCAGGTCCCAGGGCTGACCAGCTTTCTCCAGCCCGGTCAGGCAGGGCTGGCTCTGAAATGCTTCAAATGGGTGCCTGCCCATCACAATTTGTGGCTGGTTTGCAGAAGGAGGAGCTGGGAGAGGCGCTGCACGAGGTCGATTTCCAGCAGCTCAAGATTGAGAATGCTCAGTTCCTGGAGAAAATAGATGAACGAAACCAAGAGTTACTGCAGCTGAAGCTGACCGTTGGCAACACCCTGCAGATCCTTAACTACTACAAAGTAAGGCAATTGAGTCTCCCTGGCTCTGGTCCTTCATCCCCAGAAGGATGCTCCCCATCCCTGCATCTCGTATGGACCCCGATCGGTCAGCCCCAAGAGAACCTCGGCTCTCCCGCTCAGTCCTGTGGGAGAGATCAGTGTTAGGGCAGGATAGGAGACCACTAAGGGTGTTCCTGGGAACCACTAACAGCAATAGCACTTCGACTTATATACTGCTTCACGGTGCTTTACAGCCCCTCTCCGGGTGGTTTACAGAGTTACATCGTCGGCCTCTTGTCCCCCAACAATTTGGCTCCACATTTTACCCCCTTCGGAAGGATGGAAGGCTGAGTCAGCCTTGAGCCTGGTGAGATTTGAACTGCCAAATTGCAGGCAGCCGGCAGGCAGCAGAAGGAGCCTGCAGTACCACCCTCTAACCACTGCGCCACCGTGGCTAAGGAGGAACAAGGAAACCTGAAAGGCTGCCCCAAACAAGCAGAGTCCATTCCGTATTTGGACTCTCGCGGGAGGTTTTGTCCAACCAAAGTACGTTCACGTTTCTGTACTTCGACAATGATGCCACCTTCTGGGTTGTGTTCTGTTTTAGAGGAAGCTGCACTATGCAACGGCCATGGCTACCTACCTGGTAAAAGACATTGCACAGAGAAAGGAGTCCCTGGAGAAAATTGCGCGCGAGGCCATCTTTGTGGAAGAGGTAGGGGGAAGAGGTGGGCTCCAGCAGGGGCCACGAGGAGAAAGACCTTGGGTGGTGTGTGTGTGCTCCAGGTCGCCTCCAGGCACATTTAGAGCCATTTGAATATCTGACTTTACCCTGGTTTTACTTTTTTCCCCCCTTGCTTTAACTGTTGCCTTTGATTCCTCAGGTACCTCAATCAGTTTGGATCCAATTGTAGATCCATCCAGGCCCTGACATTAAAGCCAACAAACCAAAGGTCCATGTGTGCTAAAACCTGGGCAGGAAATGAAAAGAGTCAACCTTGGCATGAGTGGCTTCACCATCTTTCATGATTCAGGGTGGGAATAAAATGTTAAAAACTGGAAAGGGCAAATGTGGAGACTCAAAAAGCAGATGGTTAAAAAGCAGTGGTGCCTGTTTAGTCCCAGAAACCGCAGCTTTCTCCCCTCTGAAGGCGGAGCGGCTGATGTACCACTGGGGAACTTCTGTTCTCTTCCTGGATTGCCATTGTCTGCCTCTTCAGACGATCTCCTTCCGGCTTAGGCTGGATGCCAAAAAACCTGCCCCAAAACCAGTTGGCAGCTGGAAGCGCTGGAGCCCTGTGGGACTTGGGGTAGCCCATTCTGTCCCTGGAGGGAGCTTGGCGGCCTTGGCGTCTCTTGCTCCGTTACTCCCCCGAGGGGTGACCATCCTTTTCCTCCTTCCCTGGACTGGGGCAGCTGCTCCAGTTTTTTTCAAGGGGGGAAGGAATGACAGTACTTGCAAGAACAGAGGCCACCTGGAGCAGGCCGAGCTTTTCAGTCCTTGTTCCCAGCATTTCTATGTTGGCAGAAGGGAAGACAATTGGACTTTTTCAGACTGCTTCACAGAAAATTGGAAAGTGGAAATGGTGACAGTGTAGAAATTCCCTGATCACTAATAGTAGATTTTCCTAGGAATCCATCTAGTGTGCTATGAATGTCATTTCTTCAAAGAAGTGGGAAGGGGCTCGGTATTTAAGGAAGAGACAAGATCAGGGCGGATGGGTTTAATCCTTTTCCGGTGCCATATTTTATATGGGTAAAAATCTGAGTCCCAGTTAATGTTAACTGAATTGAATTATTTATTGTCATTGTACGTATATATACAGTATACATACAACAAAATTCATGTAACACCCAGAGACCAGACTCAACATACACACACACATGACAATCCCCAAACACCTCCTCACCCGCCAAAATTCCCCACTTCCTGAAAACACACAAGCCTCCACACAACAGACCAAGTAATACTGTCCAACTGCTCACTGATGGTGGTCCTTAACTTCATTGTTAAGTGCCATTATAGCTCTGGGATAAAAACTGTTCAGGAAACAAATGTGTGGTCAGAGTTTTAATTGTTCTGTATCTTCTGCCAGAAGGCAGCAGTTATAAGAGGAGGTCCTCCGAGATAGAAGCGCCCAGAAATTTAAAACTACCAACCCTCTCCACCTCCTCACCATTATGTACAATGGTAAATGTAAACCTCTCTTCCTCCTGAAGTCAATTATAAGTTCTTTATTTTTTTTGGTGTTAAAGTGTAAGATTATTTTCTTTACACCACGGTGTCAGCCCTTCTACTTCCTTTTTATAAGCAGCAGACTCATTGTTCTTATTAATGAGCCCGCCACTGTCGTGTCATCCGCAAATTTAATAATTGCGTTGGTGTTATACAATGGGGTGTGGTCGTGTGTACCAAGAGTAAAGGAAGGGGCTTAGCTGGAGGGCTCCTGTGCTTAGTATCAGAGTAGGAGAACGGTGAGATCCCATCCTTCCTGACTGCGGCCTATCTGCCAGAGAATCCTTTATCCAAAATCCAGCGGTAGGCAAAAGACCAGGGCCAAGATCAGAGTCCCTCGCAAAGGACTTTGTCTCTTTCCCAGGAACGGCTGAAGGCTGAGATCCTGAACAAAAAGCTACGGCGACAACTGGCAGAATACAGAGTTCCTCCTGTCCTCAACTATGTTCATGAGAAGATGACCGTCCATGATCTAGAAAACAGCCTCAGGATCTGGGAGAGGAAGGTGGAAATTGCAGAGGTAGGGCTGTGAGAGTGGGTCACTTTTGGATGGAAAGACATCTGATACCTGATTGCATTCCTCCTAGGAACACAATCTAGTGGTGTGTCACAAGGCAGTTTGTGGCACCCGGTTGAAGAAAATCATTGGAGACCATTCCTAAAGACCCATCATGGGAAAACCATGTCAGTAAATATGCTTAAGCTTCTGTGGTTATGAAGGACCAGGTTTCCTAGTTGGTAACCACGGGCAGGAGCTTGTTTTTCACTGTTTCTAGAGAAACTTTTGTTTTAAACTTTCCGAGCATTCAAAGAGGTCAGTAACAAAGGAAGAGTCGGTAAGTTCTGACCGTGGTGTTTGTTTGCGTTCATGTGGAAAATGCAAATGGCTGGTTTTCTGGTTACTCTGAATGGACATCACGCTACAAGTCCTCCAACGTTGACAGGTGCAAGAATGAAAAAGAGACCTAGAATGAGAGTTGCCAAGTTAGGTGCTCAGGTGCTTGAGAAATAAAAACAAGGACAAGGTAGCATTTGATGTTATGTAAGAGCCAATTGTCCTTTGTCCATAAGAGGGACTTGAGCCAGGTTCTTGGGCCATCCGCCCTCCTTGTGACTTTGGCTTCGGCTTTGGAATCCAAGAGATCTGCGGGCCACAAGGAACGCTGCAAGTGACTGGGGGACCGTCGCTGAGAGGGGAGGGAGGACGCCCGCCTTGCAGAGGGCTCCTTGGGCTAGACCTGGAGTCTGCATCATGACTGGGGTGGAATGGTTTCCCTGCTTACCTAACCTTTTACATTTTGGGACATTTTTGTAATAGAGTAGAAAGCCGGCATTGCTGTTGTCCCTCAGGTGGCTTCCATGAGAAGTAAGGCAGGACTAGAACTCAGGGCCCCCTGGTTTCAAGGCTGGCACTTTCACTACTACAAGTACTCCCTTGAATAGCAACTGTAATGGAGTCTGCTGTAACTTGGAACGGTTGCTCAATAACCGGTCATTATCTGAGGACTACTGTACACCAAACCAGCCTGCAAAGCACAGGGCCAACCTGCAAAAACATCTCCGTTCCCAAGTAGTCCTCCAGACTCCAACTGCCCCTCTCCTCCCCCACCTTTTCCGGACAATATAAATAGTGGACACTGCAACTTTATTTTATTTATTTGGTTTGTCAATTGCTTACAAGATAATAGGTATAAGTAAAAACATAGTTATGAATACATGGATACATATAAGAAAAATAAAAGAAACAATAGGACAGGGACGGTAGGCACGTTGGTGCACTTATGCACACCCCCTACAGACCTCTTAGGAAAGGGGTGAGGTCAATAGTAGACAGTCTAAGGTTAAAGTTTTTGGGGTTTGGGGAAGAAACCACAGAGTCAGGTAGAGTATTCCAGACATTGACCACTCTGTTGCTGAAGTTGTATTTCCTGCAATCAAGTTTGGTGCATTTAACTTGAGTTTGTATCTATTGTGTTCTCCTGTGTTGTTATGGTTGAAGCTGAAGTATTGATTGACAGGTAGGACATTGCAATGTATGATTTTATATACCATACTTAGATCGGAGGGAAGGCGTCGTAGTTCCAGGTTTTCTAGGTCTAGAGTTTCAAGTCTGGTGGCATAAGGTATTCTGCAACGAGTAGAGAACTCTTCTTGTGAAATATTTCTGGACTTTCTCAACTGTGCCAATATCAGATATGTAATGTGGGTTCCAGACTGATGAGCTGTATTCAAGTATTGGTCTAGCAAATGTTTTGTATGCTCTAGTTAGAAGTGTGATATTACCAGAGGAAAAGCTACGCAGGATTAGGTTAACAACTCTTCATGCCTTTTTGGCTATGTAGTTACAGTGGGCTCTAGCACTTAGATCATTGGAGATGAGTACTCCAAGATCCTTGACAGAGTTTGGATCATCAACAAGGTCTTGACTATTCAGCTTGTATTTTATTTTCTGATTTTTTTTGCCAATATGTAAGACAGAGCATTGATTTGTTGAGATTTGAAGTTGCCATTTGTTTGACCATTCTGATACATAGTCAAGGTCTTTTTGAAGGGTAGCAGTATTGTCTGTGGTGTGTTTGGAAATTGTCCCACATCTGGGGGGAAATGAGAGGGTGATCTGCAATATTCTGCCCTAGGGGTGAAAAGTAACATTCTGGTAAATTGCTTTAATGGTTATCTGCTAACCATTTTGTGAGAACATCCGTAGTGTGTTGTGAACCTATGCACACCAGCCTCCAGGAAGTGGAGATTCCTGGGGGAGGGGCGGGCTCAGCCCTTCCTCGAGGTCAGAGGAGGCCTCCATCAGCAGGAAGGGCTGTGAGGAGGAGGAGGAGACCCGTGTTCTCACCTCCTTCCTCTCTCTCTCCCTCTCTCTCCCTCTCCCTCCCTCCCTCCCTCCCTCTCTCTCTCTCTCTCTCACACGCGCAGATGGCCTTGAAGAGCTACCGCAATGTTTGGCATAAGGCGAAGATGGCCAGTCACCAGCTGCAGGCTCTTCTACCAGAACAGGAGAGACACAAAGTGACAGAGGTGGGTGGGGAAGGGGGACCTTGCCTGGCCTTCGACCGGTGTGTGTGTGTGTGTGTGTGTGTGTGT